CAAGAAAAAAGTTCAAGGAACCTTCAATATAGAAGCATTCAGTGAATACAACCAGCAGAAACCCCTCTTGACAAGCCCCTGAACCCCAATTCCTGCGTACTGAGACCCCTCTGAGAGCCTTTGTCCAGTACCCGGACACATCCTGAGCCTCCATTCCTGGGCACCAGGACCACCCTGTGCCCACTTTTCTGGCACTGGAACACGCCTGAATCTCCATTCCCAGAAAKGGAACCCTGCTCAATTCCCATTCCTGGACACTTGCAACCCCCATTCCTGGGCATTGGGACACACCCTGCACCCCATTATCCATAACCAGGACCCTGAACCACCACTCCTGCACCTGGACACCCCTGAGCTACAGTTCCCAGGCACTGGGACCCCRCCTGCCCTCCTTTACCCTGCACCAATAYCCCCTGCAGCCTCTTTCCCAGGCATCTCACTTCTCCCAGGCTCCAGATYSCCCCTTTTCCTTGACCTGGGGAATATCTGGACCTTTCCYAGCTCCACTCCCTTCTCTGGATTTGCTTCAGCTCCTCAGTGTCTCTATTGCTGAACTTCTTGCCAGAACTGGACATAAGACTSGAGGAAGTGCAGAGGGACAATCACTGTCCTGGTCCTGCTGGCCACACAGTGGCTGAGCCAGGCCAGGTGCCACTGGCTGCCTTGACTACCTGGGCACACACCGGCTCAAATCCAGCTGGCTGCCAACCAAAACACCCAAGTTCCTTCCTGCTGAGCAGCTCTCAAGCCTGGAGTGTTCCAAGGGGTTGTTATGACCCATGAGCAGGACTCAACACTTGGCCTTGTTGACYTCACACCATTGTCCTCRGCCCATCAATCCAGCCTGTCCTGATCCCTCTGCAGAGCCTTCCYRCCCTCCAGCAGATCCACACTCCCACCCAATTTGGTGTCATTTGTGAACTTAGTGTGACTTACACTTGATCAGATAGTCAATAAAGATATTAAAAAAAATGGCCCCAACACTGACACCTGGGGTCACCCTCAAGTGACTGGCTTTTATCAATAGAGTAGGAGCTTCAGATAAGCCCTGCCTTAGGCTAAKAATTTTGGCTACAGCTTGAATTAGRTGGCTGGCACCKAAACCACTCTGGCTCGCAAAYTCTAAGAGTGGCAGATAAGGTCTATTATAAAATGGGTTATTTATTGAATAGACAGGAGATAGCAGACAAAAGGTCTTGAACAGAGCTACTTACTACACAGTATAAAACAAAATAACTACNAGCTCCACTCCCTTCTCTGGATTTGCTTCAGCTCCTCAGTGTCTCTATTGCTGAACTTCTTGCCAGAACTGGACATAAGACTGGAGGAAGTGCAGAGGGACAATCACTGTCCTGGTCCTGCTGGCCACACAGTGGCTGAGCCAGGCCAGGTGCCACTGGCTGCCTTGACTACCTGGGCACACACCGGCTCAAATCCAGCTGGCTGCCAACCAAAACACCCAAGTTCCTTCCTGCTGAGCAGCTCTCAAGCCTGGAGTGTTCCAAGGGGTTGTTATGACCCATGAGCAGGACTCAACACTTGGCCTTGTTGACYTCACACCATTGTCCTCRGCCCATCAATCCAGCCTGTCCTGATCCCTCTGCAGAGCCTTCCYRCCCTCCAGCAGATCCACACTCCCACCCAATTTGGTGTCATTTGTGAACTTAGTGTGACTTACACTTGATCAGATAGTCAATAAAGATATTAAAAAAAATGGCCCCAACACTGACACCTGGGGTCACCCTCAAGTGACTGGCTTTTATCAATAGAGTAGGAGCTTCAGATAAGCCCTGCCTTAGGCTAAKAATTTTGGCTACAGCTTGAATTAGRTGGCTGGCACCKAAACCACTCTGGCTCGCAAAYTCTAAGAGTGGCAGATAAGGTCTATTATAAAATGGGTTATTTATTGAATAGACAGGAGATAGCAGACAAAAGGTCTTGAACAGAGCTACTTACTACACAGTATAAAACAAAATAACTACTAATAGATTACATAAAGCAGTGCACAACATTAAGGTACCAATATTACAGCTAGCAAAGAAATAGTATAGATTAGGAGTCAATTTTACCACCGAATTGCCAACAGTGGACACAGAAGCCTTTCACTTAACCCTCAAGAGAGTAACACTGGCATCCCAACTTTGGGAAGAAGCCCCACACATTTCCAGGGAAGGTGTAGAAGACTTCTGCATTGTGAAAGTTTGGTGTAGCTTTTACAGTTTGTGAAATGTCTGTCAGTCAAAARTTCCAGCTTGTCTTTCCACAGTCTCACTTSCACAGCAAGATGTTTATTGTCAGCTAGAAATGTCACTTCCATAGTGCCTGAATAACCATGAGACAAGTGGTCTTTAATGAGYTATTTCACCAATTAGCAAGCTCTTGTGGTGTAGGGTGGTCCTGCTACACCAGCCCGAAGTAGATTTAGTTCCATTCCCCAACATACTCTGGGCCTGGGCATCAGCCAGTTTTTCACCCAGCAAACAACTCCCTTGTCCAGTCCATGAGCAGCCAGTTTCTCCAGTGTCAAAGGCTTTACTGATGTCAAGAAACACGCAACCTTTCCCCCATCTACCAAGGGGTCACTCTGTCACAGAAGGACCTGCCTTTCCCAAACACACACTGCCTGGGCCTGATCCTCTGGTTATCCTGCACATGCTCCAGGATGGCACTCAGTATGATCTGCTCCATGGCCTTCCCCAGCACAAAGGTCAGGGTGACAGGCCTGGAGTTCCCTGGATCCTCCTTCCAACCYTTCTCATAGATGGACATCACATTTGCTGATTTCCAGTCAACAGGAACTCCCTCATTGCACCAGAGCTGCTGRTTACTTAGGATAAAGTGTCCATGGTTAAGTCCACCCCTCAGTAACGATGTGTGTTACATCTCTTCTCTGATTATCTTAAATGCCTAAGGGGCCCACCAAGC